GGGCCGCCGGCCTCCAGGAGCAGCAGCGCCGCCAGGGCCACCAGCCTGAAGCCATGGTCCGAGTCCGAAAGCCGCGGCGGAGCGCTGGCTCCGCCTGTGGCCCGGCGGTCCGCCTCCCGGGACCCGGAGCCGGAAACTTGACACAGGAAGAGCTTGGGCCCCACCCGGGCCGCCGCTTCTGGCTCCTCCCCGGGCTGGCGCCGCAGGCGCGCTCCCGGGACGGCCGCGCGGAACCTCGCCCCCTCGCCTGCCCCGAGCTCGCGGGAGCCGCCCGTCGCCCCGCTGCCGGCTGCGGTACCGGGAGCGACTAAGCGGGACCTTCTGTCTGGGCGAGCCGTCTCACCCGAGCCCCTGCCCGCCGCTCCGGGGAGCCAGGAGCTCCAGCGGTCGTTGCAAAAATGGACCTTTGGGAGAGCGGCCGGTAACAAGAACTGCCACGGCGCCCAGACCTCCAGTCGGGCAGCTCTTCTGTTGTGCGTGTTTAGTCAGAGATGACTCAAAGAATTGGGCTCCTGTTTTGCTGCCTAACCCGGGGGCTCCCGTGTCCGCCGCTGTTTCTCTTGGGCGTGACCTGCCCCGCCGTTGTCGGCTGCTCCCTGCTCCCTGGCCTGGAAGGAAGTGCCCGCCTTTGGCATCTTTCCAGTAACGTGTCGCACTACGAGCTGGGCTCTTGTGAGGCAGAAGCTAAATTAGCCTTGTCTCTCGACTTTTGGACTCTGTCCTCCGAAAACCTTATAGGTACATCGTGGCATAGTTTGGCAGTCTTGCTCATATCTGGATGGGAGTCCCACTCGTGGGTGTACTTAGCTGTGTGAAATTGTTTAGTATTTGGTAATGTTGGACATATTTGCCAGCCTTGGGGATACTGGAATATGTACAGGATTAGTACCTGACGTGGGTTAGAAAGACCTCTCCTTGGTTCTATAGCCAGATCTACTCTTATGGTAACGAGAAAGCGTACTTATAACAAATCTGTGGTGCACGCAAACAGAGCCAGGGAGAGAAAGCGTAGGCGTGAGGGATACAGAAATGAAAGAAACTTATCTGTACTCAAAAAATTCACCTTTATGAGGAAATAGCAAATAGGCAACTGCAATTCTCTAAAATTTTTGTGTGTTCTTTTGAACCATGCTTTTTGCATTGAAAAAGTGAAAGTACCCGTGGTATAGCTGAGCACATGATTTCTATACTTATCTTCCAAGTGTTGTTTTTTACTGAATAAAAGGATAGAATAAGGTTTGTTAAAATAAGCCAAGTTTAGGATTTTTTCCCCAATCTTGAGGACTATGATGTAAAAAAAAATGTCAGGTGCTTTACAAATAAAGGTTGGTAGTACATATCTGTGGCTTGATACAGGTTTGTATATTAAGAAATATGCCACAGCTAGAGTTTGCCATAGTAAAGTGTAGCAATAAACACTTGCATTTACAGTAATCCTACAACTTAGATATTATCATTTGCCCCTTTACACAGATAGGGACACAGGAGGATTTATATGTCTTGCCAAGCTCACAGTTGGCAGATACGGCTCTACCAGGCCATTTTCATTTAGAGATAGTTTTCCCTGATTAAAACAAAACACCTAGCTCTTAAAAAGATGGCATATATGCAAGGCTAAGTAGGGAAAGCAGATGAAATTTGTGAAGGTTTCCAACATTATAGTATAGCTACACTTTTGATAAGCTATATAACCTACCAATAGGTCATGCAGAATACAAAGTAGTTCTTTCGACCCAAAGAGGCCAAGCCTGTGTCTAGGAAGTTAAAACCATTGAGCTGTGCAAGTAACTGCCACAGAACAGACCCCTCTGTGCACAGGCTAGGAACAACTTGGGTCTTTTTGACTGTACTTATATGAATGAAACGACCAGTATTGACTGATAAACATGGAGTAAGTGTGTAATTGAAAGCATTTTCAAAGTTGTTATTTCAATATTGGAGAGTTGACTGTACTTTAATAAGACATTTTCTTTCCATAGTGATACTGTTCGAAACAGGCTCTATGGTAGGACCAGGTTTTATAGCCAAGGAGAGATTATATATATGATACTATGTATAGGTGTATACCATGTCTTGATTCCTATTACTGCCTGAAAACGTCTCATCCTCATGTTATCAGATAAATGATCAATGAATTATCAAGGTCACTGTGGTAAGAACGTTTATTGAGAGAAGAGTTTCAGACATCATTAAACTGAAAGATTAGCGGTTTTTGTGGATTTCATATTCTTAGGCAAAGCTGAATGCTACAGAATTTAATTTTGGAATTACTGATTTCTCGGAGATGTTAAGATAAAGACTTACTATGCATCTGGAATTTTGTCTTGGATTGGGTTTGTAGTTTATGCTGATCATTTGGTTAAAGTGTAACGAGGGTGAGGGCTGGGGACCTCTGAAGCAGTTGGCCTCTTGTTCCACAGCCAATGATTAAATGTATTGGCTGATAAACTACCTTGCCAAAATGTGAGTCAGTCAGTACAAAATCATGGGTATTAATGAACAGTATATACTGTCCGTGCTCTACTAAAATGTTAGGGCATCATGATAAGTGCATAAATTATGATTTAGCCTATTTCCACATAGTGGCTCTCCTAAAAGAGAAGAAAATACACTGTGGGATCTTCTACTTTTAATCATATTGTCAGGTTTTCTGTGGTGAATGCTGCAATCAGCTGTTTTTTGGCTGACTACCCATTTGTTCCCCGTAATGTGCCTTACGTACCATGTATTTAGGGGAAAATATAAAGGTTAAATCTAGTCCACATTTGCCTGTTTTTATACTCATCTGGGAAAGATAGAAGATTACTCTTATTTCTGTTATAACTGACATTTGGTTCACCTAGGCTTGGGTGGGATAAATAGAAGTTAATCCGAATGGTTGGATAAAGTATCTTGATGCCACCTTTCTCTACTGATTCAAAATACCATTTTCATTATATAGAGAATTCTTAACATTACTTTGGGTTGTTTCTGTTCTTTTTATTGAGTCCCTTTGTTCTTTGCATCTATTTTTGGGATAACTATTTTTAGTTATTGTGTTATAATTTATAAGAAAACTCCCATTTCTAAAACATTAGTTTTTATTTTTCAAGATTTACACTTTAAGCTGATCAGTTTTTTTTTTTTTAAGATTTTATTTATTTGAGAGAGAGAGAACTCACAAGCAGAGGGAGCAGCAGAGGGAGAGGGCGAAGCAGGCTCCCCACTGAGCAGGGAGCCCGACCCCAGGACCTGAGCTGAAGGCAGACCCTTAACCAACTGAGCCACCCAGGTGCCCCTAAGATGATCTGTTTCTTCAAAAAAATCCTACTAGGATGTTGGTTGGGTTTCCATATGTTTATTAAATAATTTGGTTACACTGATACCTTGACAATATGATCTCTATCCAAAAACAAGTTTTTGTGTCCCCTTGTTTTGTGATTTTAGTAATACACCTACCCTCTTCTGTTTGTTTTTTGTTTTAATTGGTTTGGATTAGGAAAATATTAAGATTTTTTAAATTGTACTTAAAAGAAAATACGTTCTGAGTATCTAAAGCATGTTCAGAACTCTTTTCGTGCAGCTTTTAAAATAAGGTACATGTGCTTTAGCGCATGTTTTGTACATTTAGTAAAACATCTGTTGCCTGGTATTAGAGTTTTTTATATGTATCTGTTTCCTTTAGTAATTATGATTTTCTGAAGGGCAGAAAGAATGTGATTAACTGCTTAATATTTTTTGGTTGGATTCCACTGAATTGGCTAGTACTGTAATTCTAAAACTATAATGCTGCTCACCTCTACTTCATTTATACATTCTTATTTATAAACATATTGTGCATCCTGTTGGTCTCCCACAAGTGAAAATCCTCAAAGACAGGGTATGTGTCTTGTTTTAAACTTTTTCCATCTCCCATCTTGGGTGGCTCCATTTACTGTATTATATGAATATTAGATAGCTATGGTTGAAAATGACAAAATAGGCTTTAAATAACAAAGTAGGAAGAAAACAGTGGTATAAATTGATTTTCTCGAAGAACTGTAGTCCTTTTAAGGAATGTTAATGTTGTCTATGGGACAAATGAAAACACTAAGAAGAGATTTTGTTGTTGTTCTTTTTAATCAGCTGTGTTGCCAGTTGATCCTGTTAAAGAAAATTATGTTCGTAAAGTGAAAAACTGTATTTTTTCAATTGCCTTCCCTACTCCTTTCAAATCAAGAGTACGTCTTGTAGCAGTTTCAAAGGTTAGGCTTTATTTTTTCACAACAAAAATACTTAACTCATTATAACTTTTGTCTAAAAAAAGATATTCATACTTTTTGGAGTTGAATTGTTCATCTATTGGTAAATGATTATATTTGTGTTTAAAATTCAGACACTTGGAGAATGTCATTCTTAGAAATCACGTTTTGATACTGATTCCTAGTTTTGATACTGAACCTAGTACTCCATTTGATCTTAAAGTTATCTTACAAAGAAAATACCCCTTTTTGAAAAAAGGGGGCAAATGAGTTAAATTCTTAGAAATGGGCTCTAATAAATTATAAATTGTTCTCTCATGATATAATTGGATTTGGGATAGAAATAGGACATTAACTTTTTTCTAGTTCCTTTAAAGAATGTGTGCTAAGAAAAATAGTATTTTATTCTGCGTCACAAGAATTAAATAAAAATTTTAAAACTATCTAATAGAACTAATTTTCCCAAATAGCATAAATAATATAAACTATGGTACATCCCTCATGAGAAAATATTAATGTACTTTTTGAAGAGGTTCATTCTTTTAATTTTCTTTCTTCCACCAAGTCTCTTCTCTCAAAAATTATTAAAGGATTACTTCAGTTTGTAAGGTCTTTTTGTTTTGTTTTGTTTTGTTTTTGTTTTTTTCTTGCCTCAGGAAGTTCTAGAAGATATTTTGGACCTTGACTTCTCTGTCTCCGAAACAGATGATTTTATCCAGCTTGTGAGTGGTGAAAAGATAGTATTTGGATCCGTTCCATTGGCTCACAGATATGGTGGGCACCAGGTATGGTAGCATCAGCATCAGCTATGACTTCCCTTACGTAAATATAAACAGTTGGTGGAGAGGCTGTCCCACTAATGAAGTTATTTTGCATTAATTCCTCTAATATTAGTGTATGGAGACTTCAACAGATGTTTCTAGAAGAATGTGTCATCATAAGATGTTTATAGTTGGTTGATGTGATTTCTTGCTGTGATAAAGCTAATGCCCAACTTTCTTTGACAGAATCGAGAAAACTGGGGTAGCACTAATATAATATTTCTGTGAATTATTGCTAGAGAACTCATTCAGGGACGTTTCAGGCAAGAGATGTAGGCAAAGCCAAGTAGCACAAAAAGTCAATATAAAAGCCCCAGAAGGATAAAGAGATTATAGTTTTGCCAGGATAGCTGCAGAAGGAAGTTTTAGAACTGCTAGAGACTGCTAGAATTTAATCAGGATTAACTGGGGGTGTTATTTATGCTGAAGCAATTAGGAAAGCGACTTCTAGAAATGAAGTTAAGATATTGAAGCAAGTTCAGGTCGTGATATCTGACTAAATTTAAAAAAAAAAAAGGAGAAAGAGAAGGAACACAGGACCAGTTGTTGAACTTGCTGTGAACTAGGTAAGATTAACAGTCTGGTTGTCCAGGGGCTGGCTTACTTCGGAGTATATTTTAGGAAAAGTAGAGAAGTATAATAGGGTTGGAGTAAGGATTAGGTTAGAAAATATGAAAAGTGAAAAGTGCTTCTATGATAGCTATTATAATAATGATAATATCAGGCTCTGGTTTGTTGGGGGCAGTTAATTCCTTTTAGATTTTTGTTGCTTTCATTCCTCAGTGTCCTAAGAGGCAAAACTATCATGGAAGCGGGCGCCTGGGTGGCTCAGTTGGTTGGGCAACTGCCTTCAGCTCAGGTCATGATCCTGGAGTCCCTGGATCGAGTCCCGCATTGGGCTCCCTGCTCAGCAGGGAGTCTGCTTCTCCCTCTGACCCTCCCCCCTCTTATGCTCTCTCTATCTCATTCTCTCTCTCAAATAAATAAATAAAATCCTTAAAAAAAAAAAAAAAAAAACTATCATGGAAGCTAAACTAATGTAAGCCGAGAAGCAAAGTGACATAGACCATTAGGATGGAAAAAGACTTCAGGCGTCATCTGTGACAAACTCGAACCTCAGTGTCTTGATCCGTAAGGTGCAAGGGTTGACCAGGTCCATTCCAGGAGTTGTGAGAAGGGCTGTGGCAAAGAAATCTGCTTAATTTTATTTAACATCCCATTTTCCAAACATACTTGACTATAGGGTTTTGTTGTGTTTTGTTTTTAAGGAATAATAACATTTTGCTGAACTATGTTTCTCAATTTTGAAACTTCTGGACTAGATGATCCTTATCGTTTTTTTTTAGCTCCCAAATATAGGGATTCCATAGTTCAAAAAGCCATTTCCCATATAGGTTAAATTTATTAGATAGCATTTTGTACTAGTACTCACATGTACTGTTAGAATACAAATGCAAACCTTAAGCCCTGCAGAGTTTTGTTAAGCTGTATTTTTTTGTAGGTTTTTTTTTTTGATAGTATAGTAAATTAGATTTTTTTCATCGATTTCACGTTTAATCTCTTGCTTCTCTCTGATTTGAAATTATAAAGATTTATTTATAAGGATGGCTTTGCCATTTTGAACACTAAATGATTTCTCCTTTATTAATAGAGAACTACCTTCTTAGTTCCCCTGACTTCACTCCTAGCTCTGAAGTTACCATTCTTTCTACTTCTTTTTCATGGTGTGGGATATACCTAATGTATTGTTGACTTTAGAAATTGCCAGAATATGCTAAGAGCACCTTTTAGATTTGTGCTCTTAGAGGTATCATATAGCTAAAATTAATGGTGATCTGTTCCTGGTTAAGATGAAAGATTAAAATACTGGGTAGATTTTTCTCAAATTCATGTTTTTCTATCAGAACTATAAACATAGTTTAAATATTCCACACCTATTTATAGAACCCCTTTTATGTGCCGGGAACTATAGTGGTGAATGAAACGTGTCCCCTTTGCTCAGATTGCTAATACTCTAGGGGAGGGGATAAAGAAATGAATTCTAATAACATCAGCATCGTGATAGGGTTAAGTATAGGAGTTATGGGAATTCACAGAACACTCCTAGTCCCAGAAAGTCAGAGACAACTTTCTGGTGGAAGTAACATGCATGTGGAAAATGGAATGATGTCTAAGTTAGCAAATCACTGTTGGTAATAATAATTATTACCATCTTAGGAGCTCTTGCATGTGTCGGACATAGGACAGAGCATCCGTTAGCATTCATTCTTAAAACAACCTGGCAAGGGTTATCTCATTTTATAGAAATGAAAGGTCAGTCTCAGTGGGATTAAGTAATTCAAATTTCCATAGCCAGTAAGTGGTATAACTGGGAGTTGGGCAACTGCAAACAGAAAATGTTGGAAATAGCTAACTGTGTAAGTTCAAAAGCAATTTTTTTCAGTTACAAGTATGTTCTTCATTTTACATTGCATACATATACTATAGACAAACTTTCTATGAATAAGTTGTTCCTAGTTCATATTCTGGAATTAAATAGATCAATAGATCAGTTCTAAGTATTCTACACCTAACAGACTTTAGCTCAGCTGTAAGATGATGAATGTAATTATATGTCTCAAATTTATATTTTTAAAATGAATTTCACTTATGTCTTATTGATTGAATTTTATTTTCACCTTTGTTCAAGTTGTTGATTATTATAATCCTAAAAATGCAATACCCCCTTCTCAATTTTGACAAAATAACTTTGGCTGTAAAATTACTATGAAAGCTTTAAAGGGTAATAAGCATGAATAATTTTCCTTTTTCTCTTTAGTTTGGGATATGGGCAGGTCAGCTTGGGGACGGAAGAGCCCATCTTCTTGGAATTTACATGAACAGGTACCACATGTTTTCTGGTATAATAGCTTTTCTGCTAAATATTAACACAGATCTTCTGATACTTAGATTTCTTTGTTGTTGTTGAAGGCAGGGTGAAAAGTGGGAGCTCCAATTAAAGGGCTCAGGAAAGACTCCATACTCCCGGTACAGTTTGATATTTTTTTGGTCATCTAAATAAAAATTGATATTGTCTTCATTACAACTGAAAATCTTTTTGCTCTTGTTTTGCCCTAGAAATGGTGATGGCAGAGCTGTACTTCGTTCCTCAGTGAGAGAATTTTTATGCAGCGAGGCTATGCACTCTCTTGGAATTCCAACTAGCAGAGCTGCAAGGTAATTCCTTTTTCCTTGAAGCTAACTTTCAGGACCGCATCATGTTATCTGCAGGCATGTGTTGGTAAATTGAGCCAATAAATCTCTGGTAGCATGATTGCTCACCGTTTCTTACGGTTTTAGGTACTTCTTGGTAGCTTGCTAGCAGTTAACATGTAAGTTTAATTGTTGGATTCTCTTATGTTTCAGTCTGGTTGTGAGTGATGATGAAGTATGGAGAGATCGGTTCTACAATGGAAACGTTGTGAAAGAAAGAGGTAATGATAATTTTTAGAATATTTACATAAAATTAGGCTGAGTTCTTAAAGAATAACAGATCCTGGACATCTTTGCAGACCAGCAAAATGTTATAAAGCCAGGACATGAAAGTTCATGCTCTTTCTTCTGAGGAGAGACCCTCGGACCTTTCCTCAGAGCCTGACTGCTCTTACTTCATGCTTGCTTCCAGTCGGTTCAGTTAACTTCTTCCTCAGCCTTTAGTAGGCCAGAAATAAAAAAAAATCAGGAAAGGGTGAGAAGTGTGCTGCAGAGCAGCAAAGAGAAACAGCGAGAGAAACTTGACCTTGTATCTCTGGGGAGAGAAGAGACCTGAAAATCAATAATAAGTGATTGACTGATTGATTAATTGATTTTGAGTAAGCTCTACACCAGTGTGGGGCTTGCACTCACTGCCCTGAGATCAAGAGTCACGTGCTCTACCGCCTACGCCAGCCAGGCGCCCTAATAATAATCTTATTCAACAGTTTAGAAGGCAAAGCCCTACCTGCTCTGTTGGGTCCTGTGGACATCACTGTATGACGGGGCAGCATTTTTACTGATGTTCACAGTGATTCACCGAGTGCACATATTATATTCTTTATACTTAGCACCTAATATGTTTTGACAAGATTTTCATAAAAAACAATCCCCCTAGAGTATTCATGCTTAAAGGAGTTAAGGGTTATTTATCTTTGAGGTTAGGAAGGATTTCAGTCGGGGGAGGAGAAGGAGTGTGCATGTGCGTGGCACAGGGAATAGTACAGAGGCCCAGAGGTGCAGTGAGTGTGGGATTATGTCGAAGGGCAGCACCAACAGAACAGGGGCTTTGTTGCCTGGGATAGACTTCATCTTGACATCCAGACACATGGAAGTACAGCATTCCTTTTGAGAAAAAAAAGACATGAATTCTCTTTACTAATTGTATTACTAATGCCTGTAGTCAAAACAGAAGGCGGCAACAGAAGGCTGCAAACACTAACACAAAAATGTATAGATTCACTTTGTTTCGTGTATGCATAAGTTAGAACATATGCAAACGTTTATTTATTGAAGTTGATTTTTGATTAGTTACACTGAGAGAAGGCACTGGCAGGGACTATGCCATGGAAATCATTCACTAATTCCCTATTTCAGGATGAGGTACAGGGAAAAGGTCACAACAGAGGAGACAGTGGGAATCCCATGTTTGGATCCTGACAGTTTAACTGAGCGCCCTTTAATGAGGTTGGAGCCTTGGTATTTCTGAAAGTGTTGTGGTTCCTGATACTCTAACTGATTCAAGGCTTAAAGAAATAGAGAAAAATCCTTGATCCTTTCTAGAGTATAAATTAGTTGCTTTTCTGATAAACTGGGTTCCTGTATTGTTTTTTTACTAAAATAATTTGAATTCTCAGAAAAGCATATTATGCTATATTTGCACAGTTTAAAATAACTTGTGCTAAAATATGTGTTTTTCAGGTGCAGTAGTGCTGCGTATCGCAAAATCATGGTTTAGAATTGGATCATTAGAAATTTTGGCTCATTATGGTGAACTGGAGTTACTAAGGTTAGAAAATGACTTTTTTTTTAAAATGATCGAAGACAATTAAATGCTTATATAAGTGTTGTGAAGTTAAAATATTTTTGGTTTTCTTATAAGTAAAACCAAATATTTCAATTAATAAATATTTTTAACACTTGCTATGTGTGGGTTTTCTAGGAGGCCAAAAGAAGTGTGAGACCCAGTAGACCCTTTGCTCAAGGAATTTTTAATCTAGTATGCAACCCAGTTGCAGCTGAGGGCCTCTGTGCCATTCAGAGCCCTGGGTGGAAGTATTTCACAGCCCCCCCCCCCAAATCCGCAGCCTGCAGAGGTCCAAAGATCTCCTTCCAACTTCTGGGATTCCCAGGGTGTCTTCTCTCTCCTGTCTCTTCTTCCTTGGACTGTAGTTTTGACACATGTAAGATGCCTGGTTTACTCTGGGTTGACCCACACTTGAAACTCAGCCCCTTGGTATCGAAGATCTATAAAGAACTTCTCAAACTCAACACCCAAAAAACAAATAAGTCAAAAAGTGGGCAGAAGATATGAAAAGACACTTCTCTGAAGAAGACATACAAATGGCTAACAGACACATGAAACAAATGTTCATCATCATTAGCCATCAGGGAAATCCAAATCAAAACCACATTGAGAGACCACCTTACACCAGTTAGAATGGCAAAAATGGACAGGGAAAGAAACAACAAATGTTGGAGAGGTTGTGGAGAAAGGGGAACCCTCTTACACTGTTGGTGGGAATGCAAGTTGGTACAGC